CCCCCCCCTCTGCCATACATTATGAACGCAGCCTAACGAAGGTTATTACAAAGCTGGTGATGATGATAATGATAATAATGTCGGATTTGGAAAGGATAGTGAAGATGATGATTATGATGATGCTGGTGGCGGAGAAGATGATGATGATGGTGATATTGATTATTTTTTTGGCGGAGGGAAAAAATAGTAGGACTTTGAGAAAACACACAGGAGATTAGCCATTAGACAAATCTACTCTCATGATGTCGCCGATTTGGGGGAATCAAGTCCACGATCACAGCGGGTGCATTAACAGATCATACTAACCACGACTTCTGGTCCTGCGTCAGTTAAGCTGTCAAATGAAAAAAAAAAAAAGCTTAAAGATTCGGACAAACATTGCATTCTGTTTAACCGCTACGAGGATTATACGAACCGATTTTATTATTTTTACTTAAAGTTACAATAAAAACCCATGTAAACTAAGATCAACTGCGATCGGCTGTGAAAATTATCTGCTGAAAGTAAACTTGTAAGTTTGTTTGTCCGAATTTCTTCTTTGTCTTCGTTTTTATGACGTCATGGCTGCGCTGCGCTATTTCCCTCCTGATACCCGTTTACACTAGCAGTCAAGCCGAAACTTCAAACATAGTAGCTCTCAAGTGCAAATCTCCTAGAGTCGCACTAAAGTTCGAGCATGTTCGAATTTGAGGCGCCTTTACTAATCGCCACTCAAGGCGCACGACAAAATTGCTAGTGTAAACGCGCCTTGAAAGGGCCTACATTTCCTACTAAGTCCTAGATCGCTGCATGATGTAAGCAACTAAAGTTAAAAGCCACTTCTTCTTGGACTAGTGTATTTTTCGAGTCATGCTGAGATTTATTAAATGTTTGCTCTCTTTAGAAGCACCCCACCGTTCATATAACGGTGTTAAAAATGCGGTTTCTTCAGTCTTAATACAAAGAAACGATTCCTGAAAACACTTAACTTGAAGCAAGAAGAGGTTCCTATCTGAATCTTCCCACATACTTTTGGTAAGTAGAAAATGTAATTGGAATTGGTAAAACATTCTACAAAAACACTCCTGGGTTTTGGGTATAATTTGAAAAAAAGAGGCATATAAAAGGCCATTCATGAAGAAGACCCCTCTAGTACTATTGAAGATGACAAAGATTCCTTTTTAGGGGCGGAATGGAGGCTAAGGAACAAGAAAACTCATCTCTCAGAACCAATAACAGTCGTAATGTAAGTGAAATAATCACCAGAGCATATGTCTTTGCTCCTGTCAGTAACAACGTCAAACTCGTTATATCCACTGCCATGCTCTTGTTTGGAGTGTATGGGTTGATTGCGAACTCTCTGATACTCTACTTCAAGCACAAGCAACACAGAAGAAGACGCCATTTAAGACAAAAACCATGCAGTCGATCCTTGACAGAATATTTCATCAATAGTCTTGCCTTGTCAGATTTACTTTCCTCTCTTATCAGCCTTCCCTTATTTACAGCTGAAATGTTCATAGATTTTGTTCACAATGACTGGATTTGTAAAGTCAATCGATTCTTAAACATCATCTTCCCAGTTATTACGATATTAAACCTTCTAGTTATTGGGGTAGAAAGATATTTTGCTAGTTTTCATCCATTTATTAAACCAAGTCGTCGTAAAGCTAAGAAAATAGTTGTAGGAGCTTGGTTCTTGGGTGCTTTGATAACTCTAGTTCCAATACCCACGTACAAGCTGATTCATTATGACATTGGAGAAAATTCGTTTACTTTAATGTGCAAATACGATAATTCTCTAGCTCTTTATCAAGGACTTTTCTTAGGTTTTGTTGTTGTCATATATTTCGTACCGAGTTCAATTTTAATTTTTGTGAATCTTCGTATTTTAAACTTAATTCGACGCCACAGGAATATCGGAAATCGATACCATTTTGGTCGGCTCAAAGCAACAAGAATGTTCGTATTTTTGATATTTGCATTTATCATTCCTTACTCGCTGTTTTCAGTTTATGGTGGACTGGTTGTCATTCTAAAGATTAGAGTCCCCTTAACTGCCGACTATTTAACTCGACACATGAGTGTGTTGCTCACATTTGCTAATGGAGCCATTAGTGCAAGTATATTGTTCCATAACGAAAGATACTTGAGAAAAATGCTCGTCGATATGTTGAATGACACTTTTCCCCATATCCAGATACAGGTTACTAACAAACGAGAGAACAAAATCCATCCGATGGTAACCCGAGAAATCAGACGAGTGCAGCAGTTATAATTTCAAAATTCTAGAAGGCAAAATTCAATTTTTTGAGAATTCTTGAGAAATGTTCTTTTATGACGAACGTGTTAAAATCATTACATATGAAAGAATCAACTCCCAAGAGTGGCATCACATGGTCTGAGACGTGCGCGCACAACAAAGAACGAAGCTACGAAGCTACGAAGCTAAAGAGGTCTATTGTGTCGTGGTGTGCAAGACTCCTACATGGAAGAACACTGGCACCAATTATTCATGAGTGACTTAGTGACATCCTGCTGTTATTCCCCTTCATTTTCACCTCAACAAATAAAATCCTGCTCCTCTAAGAAAATATTTAGAAAGAATCTTGCTAAAACGTTTCTAGTCCAACATTAGCCAGTGATGATATTATTTCTTTTGTTATTCTCACCTAATTATTATGCTTTTTTTTTTTTTTGTCATTATAAATGTATTATTAGCATGTGTAAAAATAGACCCAAGTTATTTATCTTTTTAATGTAATATTTGTGAATAGGCTACCTGACTCGATTAGTTTTTTGACTACTTCAGGTAACCTAACACCTTTTTTTCTATTATGATCTGCAAAATGTAATAGCATATCTTAATGTGGTGTAAATAAACTGATCTCTATCCTCGTCTACGTTTGTCTTCGTCTCTTGTATCTCTTTATCTCAAACACCACAAATTTGTACCTTCTTCATTTCCACTTTTTACCAAGAACACTTTTCATCGTCACTTTTAACCACTTACTTTATCTCAACTAGCTAGCTCCACCTGCAGCTCCTCAACCAATTCCTACTCCATCTACTCGTCTTATCCTTCTTCAACAATCTTTTATCTTAGTCTTACTTTCGTTCAATTGTAAAGCCGACGAGGATAACTGGTTCTTCGGCCACTTTAATTGATAATATCTATCTGAATACATTTGATCAAGTTGAGAATATCCATCCTGGGATTCTTTACACTGATATTTCTGACCGTCTCCCTGTTTTTGTCTTAACGTATGGAACAAATTTCAAAAAGCTTTATAAGAGAATCAACAAACGCGGTTTTCCTTTCAATTCAAGTAGAAGAAAATTTTTCTTATGATATGTCCCGGCTGGACTGGTCACTGATATATGAATCTAACGATCCTAACAAGCAGTACAATTATCTTATCAATACAATGAATAAGCTATATGACAAGCATTCCCGGTTAAGAATGTGCGAGTTAGGCCCCGTCCACACGTATCCGGAAACTTTTGTATCCGAAAATTTTTTTTTTTTCGGATACGAAAATGTTCGCGTCCACACGCAGCGTATTCGAATCGTTTTCACTGTCCACACGTATCCGGAAATTTCATGATCCGCCCTGATGCACGCTAGTGCCTAGTCCCTTTGACGGATAGTTTTTCTTATTGAGCATGCGCAAAATCGTGTTTACGTCATCGTATTCGAAAATGTGCGGATACGACCGTCCACACGTATCCGTATTCGGAGCGTATTCGAAATTTTCCACTCTGGAGACCGTTTTCGAAAATTTGCGGATACGGATACAAACATTTCCGGATAAGTATGGACGGGGCATTCGTTCAAGTAGTATGAAAAATCCCTGTATTACCCCAGGGATGTTACGCTCCATTAGGAGAAATAATAAACTGTATCGAGTAAAACTGAAAAATCCATCTACAAAAAAAACGTTACAAAATTTTGTAAGTACCGCAAAAAGTTGAACCATTTGATTAGAACCACGAAAAATGAATATTACGAATCAATACTAGATAAGTCTCAAGGCAATGTCAGAGGTACATGGAAAGTCATTGATGAAATATTAAATAAGAAAAAATCACAATCTAGTAATATTCCCTATGTAATGTACAATAACAAACGCTATACGATGTACCTGTTGAAATAAAAGCAAGCTCATCTCATAAGATGTTAAAAACACGTTATAAAATTTTTCTATTATCTCAATAATACTACTTATTTTGCTTACTTGTGTATCATGGAATATTTGTATTCAGTTTTCAATTCTTGGTTTGCAATCAATCCCAAGAGAGCACAATAACAAAAGGGATGTCCGCCATGTTGGAAGATACAACAAAAGAATTCATTGAAAAATCTTTTGTCAAATTCTTCCAACATGGCGGCTATGACTAATAATACTAGGGTGTAGGAAGCTTCTTCATTAACCCTTTGGGTTGTATTCCTGCACTCTACCACCATAATAATCTACCCTTATGTTTTTTCATGTATTATGTTATATTGTCGTAAGTGGAAATAATAAAAAAAAAACAACTTGAAAACCCTTTTCTCCATAACTTTCACTTCCTCCACCTTCTTTTAGAAACTTTAACCGCCCACCGTTTAGCTCAGTTGGTTGAACACTGATCGGTCTGTTGTGTGGGAGATGTTCAAGTTCCGGCCGGACAAATACTCAGGATATTAAAATAACTGAGGAGAAGGTGCTGCCTTTGTAATAGAGAGTTTTAGATTTACGTCAACGGCAAACATGAAACGTCAGTTGACCAGTAAAAAATTCTTTTAAATTACTGAAAGAGAATCGCAAAAAAGTCCAAGTAGTAGAAAAACAAAAGAGTATTTGCGCTTGGTGAGAAGGTTTGTAAAAGGTAAAGTAAATTAAAGGAAAACTATGAAAACGTGGTCACGTTTGCCGTTTGCGGGGAGAAAAAAAAGTCAATCTAAAACTCTCTAGTGTTCGAGTTCCGGCCGGACAAACACTCAGGATATTAAAATAACTGAGGAGAATGTGCTGCCTTTGTAATAACAGCGTGTCCGGAAATTTTTGTATCTGTATCCGGAAATTTTCAAAAACGGTCTCCAGAGTGGAAATTCTCGAATACGCTCCGAATACGGATACGTGTGGACGGTCGTATCCGCAAATTTTCGAATACGATGACGTAAACACGATTTTGCGCATGCTCAATAAGAAAACTATCCGTCAAAGGGACTAGGCACTAGCGTGCATCAGGGCAGATCAAGAAATTTCCGGATACGTGTGGACAGTGAAAACGATTCGAATACGCTGCGTGTGGACGCGAACATTTTCGTATCCGCAAAAAAAATTTTCGGATACAAAAATTTCCGGATACGTGTGGACGGGACCTTCATTAACTACGTTTAGACTCCTTGTATGTGACGTCAAAGCAGCTCGATCTGGAGGACAAAACAAAAGAATTCAAATCTCCTGAAAATATTGTTCCTATTGTTTTGCCCCCTTCCCCCCC